CTAACCCCCAGCACCCGAGTCCCGCCTGCCCTTCCTCATGTCTAATGACTGTTCATTACCGCACAGAACAAGATGAACATTTTACAGTTCATTAAAGATACGTTCTATGTGTTTTTCCCACCCCTTCCCCTTTCCTCCGACACTCTTTCACTCTATTGCTCACCCTCTCCCTCAAACCGACATAATCCTTGAGATTCGTTCTGGGGAGTCTTAATTACACGATAATGGATAACGGTTATTAAACGCGGGCGACAGTAATGAAGCTCTATTCATTTGCGGCGGAGCGGGGGGACACTGCCGGAGAGCGTGGGAGTAAAATAGCTCCGGCGTCGCAGATTAATAGGTGAAATTATCATTCAATTTCAGAAACCTCATACGCAATTCATAGGAACAAGGGGAGATTAAGGAATGAGCGCGGCGACAAAAGCAATGCATTTTAATAACGATCCCTATCAGAGCCGCTGACAATTGGGTACAGTAATCGGCTTAATGTGCAATGGCTATTTAAGCATACAGTCACTGGCCTGCTCTCTCTGTGTGTGTGTGTGTGTGACATCTGGATGTTGAGTGCTAAAAGGATGAGCAATGGCGCCACACTCTGGACAAAAGATCAAACTTGCTTAAGGCAAGCATCACTGTTGGTATTGACCATACAAGGGGGTCAGATTTAGCTGGTTTAGCTGCACACAGACACTAAAAAGTGTGCATTCTTCTGAGGCCCTATCCCAAATGGCACCCTAAACGCTTGTGGTCTTCCTACGAGTCTGCACTTTCATTACGTAACGCTGCTTTGACTACTCAGGAAGAAGTCTGCTGCGGAGATCGCTTTAGTACAGACTCGGTAAAGTCAAGTGTGTATCGGGAACGCATCGAGGGCGCTCGTGAACACCCTTCTGACACCTAAATTGACAAATTGGACACCCTACAGTCTCATGAACTTAACTGACACATTCACACGGCAGCCTTTGTAAGTCCACAAGACTGAAAGTGCATTTGAAGTGTGACAAGGCCTGACAAGGGTAGAAAAATTCAACAATACATTTTATTATGTTTCTAAATTGAATTAAATGTTTCCTCTGAGATCTATGCTTAATGTCCTCACCTGCCATCATGGACACCAAGCTGGCCTTGTAGACGTTTGTGAAGTTTCCCAGCTCTCCAACTGCCAGGATGGTCTTCATATGGGCGTCTTCACAGGCCTCTCTGAACTGCCGGATCTCATCGTAGAGGGCTGAGGAGATCATTTAACAACGGCAGACAAAAATCAACTGTCATCCATTTGTAAGTTCACCAACTATCAAAGTAGACCTGAAGAAAAACAGTTTGTGTCCTTTTATATAAAGAAGTGAGATGGTTATGGCCATTGTCAGCTGATCAGTTTGGAAGATAGCAGCTTAAAGAGGACCTATTATGCCAAAGTCTTGATATTGTTTTTGGGTCAAAAAACACCTTAATTTTCACATATTTTACAGTATTTTGTTGCAGTACCTCTCAGTAACACTCTGTTCAGTTCCCGTCTCTATGAAGCCCCTCCTTCCGAGAAGCTCAATGTGCTCTGATCAGTGTGTTGTGATTGGTCACCCACTTAGCGTTTCGGACATGTCACGAATGTTTCAACAAACAACTACAATTTGCAAACTACTAACTATAACAAACTACTACAATAACGCAATTCAACCGTTTTTTTTTTTTTTTTTTTGTGTGTGCAAAGCTTGGGACGGGAATTGTTTAAGTGAGAAATGCGACGTGTACGTTCCCAGAAGAAAACTCAAGTCTACAAATCAAGATGTTTCAGGGGGATCAGAAACAGTGCTTGCTGATATGGAGAATAACTCTGTTTGGAGTGGACTTTGTATCTTTGCAGACCTTTTTCATGCTCAAAAAGCAACTCACAAGCATAATTGGGACCCCTTTAAACCAACAGAAAACAATCTGGTTTAAGAATTATTTTTTTGGTAGGAACTGTATCTGCATTCCCTTTGTACCCTGGTTACACACACCTGCCCATTGTCCAGTGAGCGCTAAAGTCCGGTTTATGACAATATCGATCTCTGTGGCACCATCCTTCACAGCCATCCGGACCTCCTCGAGACGGGTCTTCAGTGGCGTCTGTCCAGCAGGGAAACCAGTGGCCACTGAAGCAAAGAGAATGAGATGAGGTGAGACAATGCAGTTGCACCCTCTCTGGGATGATGTCTATAGAAGGATTGAAATGTGTTTTAAGATGAGCCGTTTCAAATGTCTTACCAGATGCCACAGGAAGACTAGAGTTTGCCGCCTTCAGAGACTTTACAGCATCAGCCACCCGTGATGGGTACACACAGACAGCTGCAGTTGTGATTCCTGGAATCACACACACACACACACACACACAGTGTTTAAAGTAAAAGAAATCTATCATTCATTTCATGCAAAGACTACATTTGAATACATATATAAAAGTAAAATACAGCGTAAAAATACAAAGAAAACACTTAAAGTTCGGTTAACATCTAATGTTTTTTTGTGTTACAATTTTTTTTATTCAGTAAAAGGTTGAATTTAAGTTGTTACAGTCACTGATCTCTTCAGCCAGTAAATTTCAGTGAAAAGAGCTTTATCTCCCTCTTGTGGGCAGATATACAGTGACACGCTTATGTTACTTCAACGGAAAACCATAATAAAATATAATATAACATATAACAAAATAATTAACATTTATAAACATTAATAAAATACAATACAATACTAAATACAAAACAAAGTTTGAGATCTTTCTCTTATTCTCGCCAAGGCTGCATTTATTTGATTAAACATATAACAAATATTATATTGTGAAATTTTATACAATTTAAAATATATATATTTTTTTCTATTTTAGTACATTTAAAATGTAATTTATTCCTGGGATGGCAAAACTGCATTTTCAGCAGCATTGTCACATGCTCCTTGAAATATGCAGATGTTTACCTTTATGTTTTATACAGTGTATATATATATATATATATATATATATATATAATAAATGTTGAAAACAGATGTGCTGCTTAATATTTTTGTGTAAACGGTGGTAAAATAATTTCAACATTTGTCTTTTTCAAATGTCTAATGTCACTTTAATGTCAATTTAATGCATCCTTGCTAAATAAATGTATTTATTTATCTCAAAAAAGTACAATCCTAATGACCGCAAACGTTTGACCAGTAGTTTATTATAATAAAAAATTAAGGTATTAAATATCACGTAGTGCTTAATGCCCTTCAGCCCTAACTTATTCGCGATACAGCACAGCCTCTCGTACTTTATTGCTTACTTATAAAATATATTAAAGATAAATTTACAGACAAGAAAAAAGAAAAAAAAAGAAAACCATCTAGCACTTTGGGAACAATAATGAGTTTAAGACTTTTTATATTTGTCATTAAGCCGTCATTAAATATACTAGTAATCTGTATGGAAACAACTTTCTGGAGTAATTAGTCAATTACTATGATCTAAAGTGCTTCTAACAGTAATTTGTTAACAGTAATGGTAGTAAGCTTATTTTATACTGCAAACTGCAATATGAGTGACCGAAGATATAAGTGCACGACACCAACGGGGATGATGTGACAAAAACATGTATATGCGGACAACGGCACCTTTGTCATGCATGTCCATGCTCTTCAGCAGATCGTGACGGATGGGCTGTGTGGCCTTCATACAGAGTCGATGGACATTGGAAGGTGTGTCGTCACCAGCGAGGGTCGTCAGATCAATGCACGTGACAGCCTTCAGCAACCAGGCAGCCTACAATATCAATGCAGGTCAATAAAGATGGCATCAAGCAGTAGGAGTGAGCATGTAACATAAATATTGTAAACAGTTTACCTGCCACTGTTTTTTGGCCACTTTGTGTCCCTGGATCTGCTGGGCTCTTTTAAGAACAGCCTGGGTGTTGACTCTGACTTTTGACACCCATTCCAGATCTAAAATAAGGCAAGAGTAAATGATTATTACATTTTAATATCAGTTTAGTCTGGTCTTCCGTCTGCTCAACTTGTGTCATGAGACACATGGGTCATGTGAAATTCATTAAGGGCATTTTGTCTAGAGTTTAGATTCAACTGTATATAGGGAAAAACGAAAGAAAACCAGAATTACCCTTAAGATTAACCAGAAACTCTTAATATATTAACTACACAGGCCGTATGAAGGTTGAATTGTGGAGTTTTAACTGGTCAGATTGAGTTAAAGATTAACCACACACAATATACGTTGCACTTTACATGATCAACGTACAGCTTAAGTTATACCACAATGCCTGTTGCTCATTAGTAGCTTGCAAATAACTTTAACGTTAATCTCTGTCTTGTGTTCTTTTTAACTAACGTTAAATGCCTGTCCTATCACGTGAAAAAGTAGCGGAATTAATTTTAATTAATTAAAAAAAAAAAAAAAAACTTACCAAGATGCATTCCAGGATTTCTTGCGGACATGGTGAAATAACTCACTAGATGAAATTAACTTTTAAAAATAGGGTCGATTTGAAAAGTAAGTTACAGTAAAAGAAAGCTCTGCACACTGACAGCTTTCACTGCGCGTCTTCCGGGATTGCTCGTCACTGATTCGCTGACGCAGAACACTTCAAGCCAATCATTTCACCGCTACGCAAGGCGTAGAGTGATGACGTTTTTTCTGTTACTAAACATTTATAAAAAAAAAATAAAAATAAATAAAAAAAAAAAAAACATGTAGCAGAGGGGTCTTTATCGGTATATTAAAATAGAAATAATCGACTTATTTTGAACAAAAGTATAGGGTCTCTTTCACAAGTGAGTAGCCTATCTGAGATGTTTTTTTTTTCCTTGACACGGACGGTAAAGTAGAAATATCCACAAAGCACTCGATGTGCTGTTTTCATTAACTTTAGGGGTATTTTAAATGTATCTACACTATAATAAAAGAGATGAAAGCTGCCCATTAGATTTGAGAAACAAGTTGGTAGGATGACATTTAAGATGAGAAACAGGAAAGCATGTGAGCTTGAATGAACTGTGCTTTATTAGATGATGTGATGTTCAACCATCATACTGAGCTTTTGAAATAAACTCAGGTTTAAAATAAAAAGCGAAATAATGCCAAAAATGACAACATCCAGTCAAACTTCAAATGGATTTTGTATTGAGCCGTGACGGTTTTTAAAGTATCCTGAATTGTGAAGTCTAGAGTCAAACATTTGCTTCAGCCCCAAAAGATACAAACGCCGTGATTCATATTATAAACGTGAACATTTTTTAAAAACTGCATAACATGTTTGTACCTTTTTTTACAAGTTTGCCAGGAAAGATAAATACATAAAAGTAATTTAAAAATGATATGGTAATTTACAAGAATGAGTTATAACTTTCATTACAAATCTGATCTACCCACTTCAGTTTCAGATCTAAGCCTTCTTTTACTCAATTGTTATGATTTAAGAATTATACTTTTCAAAGGATGTCTAACAGAAATAAGAACTCACATCTCTTGCACAAAGCCATAATATACTACAAGATATCGTTATTCTCAAGGGTGAAACTAGAAAATTACTCATAATTATGTAAAACGCTAATTCAGGTTTATCCAAATCCTCTAGTCCTAGCCAAATAACATGAACATTTGGACTGATTTAGTTCTTTCCGCTTTGGCATGTTGGGTCTGAGAATGACCCCTCTAAGGCTTTTCAAAATGAGAATCAGAATCGTCTCGGAAGAGCTGTCGGCCTTGGGTTTTGGAGCTGGGACTCGTAATGGACAGAAGATTCAGCCTTGAGCTGCACAAAGGAGACTCTTCTGGAATGGTTATCTGAAGCAAGAGGAGATCACAGAATGTTAAGCACTTCATCCTAAAACACTCCGTATATGACTTTAATTTCCAATAATATGTTGTCTATGGATGGAGTTCCAATTTTGCAAATTTAGATCCTAAATTAATTTAGAATCACAAATATTAATATCTGGCACATTCATCACATATTTCTTTTTTCTGCACATACAAGAAGACTTTAATAATTAAACTTCAAAATAAAAGTTTTAGTAGTAGAGAGAGGAGAGGGGGAAGAGACTGAAGGGAAGGAAATGCAGATAAGACAATACTGAGGTGTGATCTACTCAGTGTGATTGTGTCTTGGAAGAGGGTGCTAATTTTGCAAGACAGAGTTCAAATGTTAATTTCCAGAAAAGTCTTTTGTTTTCTTAGAGAACCCCTCTGTGGGTCCAGAAATCTTGACACCAGCACGTTTTTCATAATGCCATTGCACCAATAAAGCTTTGAGCTCTGGTGTGACATCTTAATGATCAAATATCCAGTAAAATTGTTTTGTGATCTGTTACAAAATAGCACATTGTTTGCCAATCATTTCTAAATGTTCTAGTGTATACGTTACCTTTGGTAGTTTAGTCGGCGTACTGCAGATGTCCGCAGAAGTCAGCCGTTTAGAGCCCCTGCTGCTTTCATTTGGGGATGAGCTGATCGTCTCTAACGTTGCATCTTCAACCTGATTGGATAATTCAGACACATGTTCATTCTTCACCATGCTTGGCTCATCACAACCATCCATGGGTGACCAAGAGTAGGTTTGAGTGAATGCCATGTCATCTTTTAAAGAGATATTGGATGTTTGATGGTTGTGTCCATTTTCTTCCTTGTAGAGGTGTCGAAAACATGAAGGTTTTGTGCTGGAGAACGACTGGGGGCGGCTGTGGCAATGTGACACAAAGGGTGTGGACTGTGAAGGCCCGAAACTGTGGTTCACAGGGGTCTCTACTTGACTCTGACTGCAGGCCGACTGAGTCAAAGTGTCTTCAGGAGCTTGTTTGGCAACTGTTGTTTTGATGAACGAGCACAATCGTGTGTTACGTGGGGTGATCCTTTTCTTGATGGCTCCTTCTATTTCGCTCTCTGAACCCACCACATACACACGCTTCTGACCGCGTGTCACTGCAGTGTACACATGCTGCCAGTTTTGAGCAATGCTGTCTCCAAGAACGTACACAATAGTTTCCGCCTCTGAGCCCTGAAGTGAGAAAACAAATAAGCAATTTGCATGAATCAGAGACAAACAGGGCCGTAGATGAACAAAGAGCATCACTACCTGAAAGGTGTGGATGGTTCTTGCCCAAGCATGTCGCAGTTTACACTCTCTCTGTAGTTCCCTGTAGTCACACATCACCACGCGCCCATTTACATCATCTAGTGTCAGGTAGCGGTACGTTTTTTTACGTTTTCCTTCCCCAACCTCATCCGTCACATCCTGTGTACAATTACAAGGACAAGTTAAACCAACTCAGGTTATTATCACTCAAAACTAAGCATTTTGAATTTAAAAGCATACAAATAATTTTGAGATGATCAATAAATGCAGAAATAAATCTCCAGTACATCTTTAATAAAGAAAATTTCCCCATTGCACAGGCGCTCTTTCTTCTCCTTCGTCTGTTCATCTTGTGTCTGTCTATCTCCATTATCACGGGAAGCTCCGACAGTCACACCTCTCTTCTCCTCTGGGTCTGAGACATAGCCATTCTTAGTGCAGCAAACTTTATCCATTTTTTGAAAGTTCAATTTCTGTTTGGAAGTCCTGAAATTAAATGCACTTAATATTAAAACATACACTGTAAAAAATATTGATGGTTTAACTTAAAAAAAGTAAGTAACCTGGTTGCCTTTAAATTTTAAGTTCATTGAACTGGAAAAAGTGAGTTAATACAATGAAGGAGATTAATTTAACCATCAGAAACTCAAAATTACATGTTTCTCAACTAAATAAATTATTTAAGTTGATTTGACAAAGGAAAAAAATGTTGTGATTACTACACTGTAAAAAAATATTGTTGGTTTAACTTAAAAAAGTAAGTAACCTGGGTTGCCTTAAAATTTTAAGTTGATTGAACTGGGAAAAGTGAGTTAATACAATGAAGTAGATTGATTTAATCATCAGAAACTCAAAATGATAAGTTATTTCAACTAAATAAATTATTATAAAGTTGATTTGACAAAAGAAAATATGTTGTGATAACAAATCTTGAAAATATTTTTTACAGTGATATGGAAGTGGTATAAAGTGGAATACAAATGTATTTGTAAGAAAACTAACTTTGTGGTATGCTGAGAATAATGGCTGCAGCAAAGCTCATTAATCAACTCACAGTCTTTCCTGTGAACAAAAGAAACAAATTTAGCAAAGATTAACATCTCAGCAAAGAGCGACAAAGTTTAATCTGTCTTACTTCCTGAAAGCCACAAATTGTGAAGATGTATCACTTTCCAATCCAGGGGCTTCCTTAAGTAAGAATTTAACAGCATCCTGGAGGCCTGAGCAGCAAAAGAAATGTGTTGTTATTGCTCAAAATCAGATATATACCATTTTGATGAATGACAGTAATTGCAGTTAGTGTCTCAACACTGCATTTGATTTGTAATTAGGTATTTTATTTCTAATTTACCATATTGGCATTGGCCCATATATTCATTTTTAATGTTCTCATTATCGGTCCATTCATTTTTAGCTGATACATAATGGATTATTTCCTTCAGCTGAGACACTTAAGATAGATACTACTGTTCACACCCTAATGGTTTTGAATTGCTTGAAATATGATTGAAATCATTTAAAAAAAGAAAAATATATTCTATAATATAGGCTACATAAAATTATAATGAGAACACCATTATAATTGTGTGTTTGGGACATGGATTTTAATGGTGAGACTTTAATTTTTTTTTAATTAGGTCCTCAATTTTGATTTATCTGCCAATATATCAGTTATCACCTTTCAAATAAAGAATTATAGGTTATCGGCATCGGCCAAAATTGTCATATCGGTGTGCCAAAAAGTTGCACTGAGGTTCTTAAGGGGGAGTAAAATGTATTGAATGTGGCTGTGTATCAAATGAGTCACAGACAACAGGAAGTGTATTTTCAGGAAAACCTGCAGTACAATAGACACACAGGAGCCCACACAAATGTCTTGAAGACGAACCAGTGATTGGTTTTCTTTTGATCAGTGTGTTTCTTTTGTTATTCAGATTGTCTGGGCCTTCAGCTTAACAGATTTACTACAGATGCAAAGAATGTGCTAAAAACACCTCACACAATTCTTCACTTCCTGGCTTATATTATACAAGTCTTGTGAAATGAATAAAGCCATTTAAAGTACATTTCTTTGAAAGAAAATTACACATTTTCCACATATTTCAGAACTACTCACTTACCAAAAGAATAATTTTCCTCACTGACTTTGACCAATATGAATCTTTTGTCAGATGACACTGTGGAGGGTTTTGACATTTTTATGGTGGCATCAAACTCCAGAGGACTGTAAAGCCTTTTTTTACCCATCTCCGAGATGCTGAAATAAAATAGAAGCATGGAAATAAAAGAATTATGATTAATTCACTGTCATTAGAATTGAGCACCATTAATATTTGTAAAAAAAAATCCATATTTGTACATGAAAACATGTACACACAGCCAACAAACCAATAAGGAACCAAAGCTAAGAAGTTACTCAATTTTCTAAAAGCTCATCAAACATTACAGAGAAGAAGCTATGTGCTCACAGTCCAGCATTTCTGACGATGAGCTCAGACTCGGCACGATGGTTGGTCTTCATCTCAATGGCCCAACGGACGTTCTTGAGGACTTCAAACAGATCGTGCAGTGTGTTTCCAGGTTCAATGCTGGGCAGCTGCCTCACATCTCCTGCAGACACAAAATAAATGGTTTGGTTTTTAATATTAATACAACAAGTACTTTAACTGCAGAAAGTCACTGATAAATATGTGGTAAATACACACGAAATGATAAACTATTATGCATGCAATATGTCTACCCAAAATGATGAACTTCTGGAGGTCTGCATGTTTGGTAAGCATGCTGAGAATGGAGTGAAGGATCTGAACAGACACCAGGCTCCCTTCATCGACCACCAGTACCCGCACCTTCGAGAACTTCCAATGCTTAGGATTTCCACTGGGATCCTTTTCTGTATTCATGAAACTCCATAAAATCTGAAGAAAGGGAGGAGTGGTTGACAATGTAAATAAGGTATCAATAGCAACTGAGACATCTATATATACTCAAATTGGGATGAACAATTTGTGTAAAATATTAATTTATTGGACATATTGGAAAACAGAGACAATCAACACTGACAAAGCTGTAATTTAATGTTAATTAACTGTAATATAAAGTATGAAATATTATGTAATGCATTGTGAAGTTATGTAAATATTGTTTAAGCCATGTAATGTTATGTTACGGAATATTATGTAAAGTTCTACAATTCTTAAGAAATATTCTGAAATGTGAAGTTATGAAATGTTATGTGATGTTTAAAGTCATGCAATGCAACGAAAACTGTAAAGCTGTCATGTTTACGTTATTATGTTATGTAAAGTTGTGAAATTGAATGTTATGAAATGCCTGCAGCAAAGTAGTGTAGTGTCAAATTGTTGTTTAAGTTATGTAACGTTATGAAGTTGTGAAATCTATTAAGTTTCAAAGTTACGTTATGAAACGTTATATAGTGTTATCTCATGAAATCTCATGAAATGGCGTATGTATGACGCGCCAATTCGTTTTTCGCCAATTTCCATTTTCCCAAATTCGCCAATTTCCATTTTTGGCATGCTATCAACACGCATAATCGCTTTTCAGAGTGTTTATGATTGCCATTGACATAACGTTACATCATTGTATATATAAATATGTGACTTACCCCCAACCCCATCCCTAAACCTACCCGTCACTGGGGTTAAAACCATTTATGAGTGTTCCCTTACCATCCTAGGAAAAAAAAATATCGCTCCCCAGATGTAGATCAACATTTTGCTTCGTTTCGCTCGGATATTTAACGGCATGTACATACGTACACACGCAATCACTCAGACATTTAACTGTGTAGACATACACGCGGATAGCACAAATGCGCATAGATAACACGCCACTTCACTTGAAAGTGAAGTGTACGTTTACGCAAAAGTCATGTTGTACATTATGTTGTGAAATATATTGTAGTGTAAAATTATGTTTAAGTTATGCAGCATTACATTATGAAATGTAGTATAATGTTATGTGAACTATACCTGGTGCATAGTATAAGCAGTGAAGCCGGTTCTCTTAGTAAGAAGTGAAGAAGCTCTCCCAGTAGGAGCAGTTAGAAGAACTTCCACAGGCTTTTCATCACTGTCACTCGCCTCACTTTCTTCTTTCTCCTCGTGTACGTCTGACAGCAGCCCATTACTGGACCCCTGGGAGTCATTCTGAAAGTCTTCACAGGCCTTCAACACCTCTTCCCTGTCACTTGTCTGTTGCTCCATGGCCGCCTTAAACACCAGGCTGACCACTGTAGTCTTTCCACAACCTCCCTTCCCACTGATCACGGTTACTGGGTTGGTGCATATCATTTCTGCTGCTCGCACCTGATCGGGGTCCAACTCTATAGTAGACGGATCAACATCCATGTAGGTGGAGTCATCCGAGTCGTCCGAGTCTGAAGTGTGACTTTCCTCTTTAATAGTGAGCTTTGTAATTTCAAAGGACTGAGGAGAATCACAACGTATTCCCGTTCCTCCATTGTGGACCACGCTTGAAGTATCAGGCCGGGCAACATCAAGAAGCATCTCTTCACACACGGCCCCCTGAACAATGTCATTTTGGGCTGCTGAAATGGATATTTTTGCATCAGCCTTAGATTTCCTTGGATTAGCCATACTGCGTTTTTCACAAGCTTTTGCTCTTAATCGATCCAGCTGCGCTTCACGAAGAACCTTCCTCACATCCAAGTGGATCTTCCAGGGTTCTCCCTCAACCAGGCTCCTCAAGCATTCGGCAATGCCTTTCTCATAGCCGAAGAGGTTCCTAAGCGCCACCTTTTCGACCTCCCTAATCAGCACCCCCTGATTCTCAAGAAAATGCAAAGCAGTCCAGGCACCCTCATCTCCGGTCTCAGCCAATATCTTATCCTGCAACATCTCCCGGTCGGCATACGTGCTGCCAGTGACTCTGCAGTGTCTTTTCAGTTCCGCATACAAGAGCAAGGAGTCACGCTGGAGCACGGGGATACTAGAAAATAAATTACAGCTTTTGAAGGCCTCCAACTTTGCTTCACACCGGATGAGACGTAATTCTTTAAACATAATCTGTGGAAAAAATTCATTAAAGAATATCAAATAGTGAAGGAAATAATGTGAACTTTAGATTTAGAAACCAAACAAGTGTCCTGGGAAGCAATCTTACATGGCTGAAGCCCAACTTCCATACATCAGTCTTAATGAGCTCCTCAAGTTTGGCCAAGACATTTGTATTGTTCTGCTCTTGTGCAGTAGGGTCATCTTTTTCAGAATTATCTCTGATTATCTCCATAAACTGACCCGGCAGCAATGTTGGCAAGTATTTCATGATTCCAGGGTACAAGCTGGCGACTCTCACGTGTGTCCAAGCGACTGTGTTTAAAGACAATTAACAAGAACAAGGTTTGTGATTATGATTTCGGTATAATTATTTGAATGACTTTTTTTTCATAATTATTATATGAGCAAAAAGTATAGTTTGGATTTAGAATAGGTTAAGGCTTAGGAAATTAACCAGCATTTTAGATGTTTTCTGTAGCTATGTTTCAATCCACCAATTTTAATTTTTAATATGATTTTTTTTCGGTATTTTGCACATTAATTCCAAAAATGCGAGTAAAAAACGTATGGACTCAATTGAGGCCGATGCATTACTAATACGAAAAGACATACGCATAAACTACGAAGGAAACACATTAACGAATACACTTCACACTACCAAAGAAAAGTAATCATATCCTCCCCAAATTGCAAAAACTTCCATTTTTATTACAGATATTTTGCGCCATTTTCCCAGAAAGTTAAGTTGTTTTTTTCTTCTTGGAATAGAAATACTGCATTAGTCTCAAATGTTTTATGCTATATTCTAATTCTGCATTTAAGTTAAATTCACCACTTTGGATGGAAACATAGCTTGTGTCTTTGATTTTCGATAAAACACATGCTAAATATAATATTCTGCCAAAAATCACTTCAAAAGCAACTCTGATATCGTTTTATGTGTATTATACAATTAGACATGGTTTACATTTTCCAACCTGAGCAATTGACATTTCCCTTGAGCTCTATAGCCACAGCTTTATTTTCAGGTGATGAATCTTCAAACTCCTGCAGGATGTCCAGCAAATTGACAAGCTCAACATGTCTGTCATTGGGCAACCACTCCATGAACATGTTAAAAAAGTCAGGTTGTGCTTTACATGCTTTAAGAAAAAGAGACACAAGTGACCGTCCCTCTGATCTCAGATTGGTGCGGAGGCTGTAGGAGGGATAGCCTTTGAGAAAAGCTTTGTGCTGGCCTTGACGAACTGTGCAGGTTACTTTCCACCAGGGGTCACAGAGGAGAAAACGGCCCTCAACCCGGTACATCTTTTCACCGGCCATGAATGACACTGCAAAAGAAAATAAGACATGCATGAAATATCAATAGTTTGGTCCATAAACAAAGACTAGCCTATATTGTCTATAAACTGTAAAATTAAGCTTTATGTCTCCTGTTGGAGTGAGAAACAATGGCTAGTTGATTTTAATTGAAACAGTGTAAACTTTAAAACTTTGACATGGTGTGATTGTTTTTACTAACAACAATGTAATCTATAAATATAGGCTTAATTTTTACTTTTACTTGTAACAGTCAATCGTAAACATGCTTACTTTGAAACTTTTAACAATTAAAGTTAAATCTTGCTTCATATGGGTAAGTGGTTCAAAATTTAAAATATAAAATGATATAGCTTATGCATGATCATTTAAATTTAAAACTCAATTACAATTTAAGAAAATAAATTACAATTTAAGAAAACAATGCTTGAAGTTGGAAAAATGTCCTTCAAGAAAAACAAACAAACAAACAAACAAATCAAATATTAATATAAATGTATAGGCCTATTACTTGACAGGTCAAATAAATATAAAACACTTTCGACATGCAGTACAAAAAAGGATGTTTTTATTTAGGCTTATTCAGATATGTTATGTTTTAATTTCAGTTTTCAGTGACCCTATGTAAAACGTAATCATGACACTTTGTTTCATACCACAATGCAAAATACAAACATGGCCGCTTTCTTACTTACAAACTTGTGAAATGAAAACATGGTTACTTGTAACGTTAGCAATGTTAAGTGAAAAAAAATGTTATTATGTTTACTGAACACATAACTATGTTTACTTGTTGAGTGTGTCTGCTGTTATTCCAAACAATTTTACATCTGCTAACTTTGTTTTCATAATACCAAAGGAAACAAGTTTGGTATGTTGTTTTACCTTCTTTTGACGCTGGCACGGATGATTTAAATAAGTTTGCCCCAGATGAGACAGAGTCCATCTCTTTCATGTCAAGAAATTCAGGCTGTATTTCCTGATCGTCTTCATCTTCACTTACTGAAACATCATCTTGGTTTGACTGGACAACCTCTTGTTCTGGTAAAATGTAACCAATTATGGTTTTTAATCCGGCGGAGGGACTTTGCCGCGCCATGTTTACTGCAGTCCGTTTTAAGATTTCAACAGTTCGCGAGCGCGGTTCAATTTTTGACTCGTGACCTCATGACAGTAAACATGATAGGCAACCAGCACACCAAAATAAAAGTCCGTTCAGTTTATGCACTGCTTCCTGTCAATGGAAGCACTAGTAAAGGGAACCGTCACACCTGATTAGATACTACATCATTTATGTAAAACATTAACCTCAATTAAAATTAACCTAAATAAAATAAAAATAATTAAAGTATTGTATATAATGTTAAATATCACATGCTATTACATTCTCCATGCTTAAAATTATAAACAGAAACTGCCATCAAAAAAAGAATAATTTCTACAGTCAAAAGGTAGTATGTAAGTTTTAAGGGTCTAAAAATAGTTGTATTTTATGTGTATCTTAAATATACTGTTAGATATAAATTTAAATTAATATGTCCCCAGTACATGCAAAAGTGGCCGTGGTCACTTTTGCAGGATCCACAAGAACTTGGAACAGGAAAACAGAGCACTATTTAGAATAAATAACTGGTTCGCATTATAAAAATGAACAAAAATATTACATTTTAAGTTATGAAATACATTTTAATTTTGCAGTAAAAGTCTTGGTGAAATTATTAGACATATAACGTTACACACTATTGAAGCTGCTTCCGTTCTCTTTATGACAAAACAGGGTAGATTAATTTCATGGGTTAAAATATTAAAATAGTCCCTTGTGTTTTCTATACTAATAGTAAACAAAATTACAGAGAGCTTTGCATCGGGATGTCTAGACGCTATCGAAAGCGTTTTAGCATGCAATGATTCTAATCTTTAATGACTTTAATAACTTAATTCTTTAATGATTTTTAGTAATTAAAATAATAGGTCAAACACCACCAACACTCCCTAAAATAACAGTAATTGCAACTTACAAGCATCTGCATAAAATATATTAGTTATAATATACATAACATACCTGCTTTTAATCTTCTTTTATGTTAGAACAGTTTGAGGTTATGTTATACAGAATAGGCTATCTCTAAACTACTTTCATTTTATGCAGATGAATATAAAAATATTGTTAAAACATATTCAAATTTTTTTTTTTTAAATACAGCACAAAAACAAACAAACAAACAAATAGCCTATTTTAACAAAATGTGCACCGACTGCTGATTAAATTCCTAGAGTTCATTTTTTTTTTTTTTTTTTACAGAGATCCGACCCGGGTGAATCACTCTGACTTAAGTGATAAAAGTTCTTCTGTATTTATTAACCCCTGGTTGTACAGGTGAATTTTATTCTTCATTTTCTCTTTTGCTGGATTCCTGACGTCATTCTGAGAGGGCAGGTCATCATCATCTGAAACAGAAAAACGTTGGATATTATTTCTGGATATAGGATTAATCAATGAAACCTACTTCCAGACAGATGTCTATGTGCATTCTCCCTTGACTTGCCTAGAGTGACATAAAAAACCGACCGACTGAAGCCATTGGCGCAGCAGTCCTCACACCCCTGCACTTCGGCTCCAGTGGTACAGCTGCACTCCACAGGCCAACTCCCATATAAGTCCAGGTGAGGTGCAGGGTCTGCCTGCACATTTTGTGATGCTGAAACCACTTTGTCATTTTCCTGGAGAGATTCCCTAGGGGAATGCGACAAGTCAGGATCTCCCACACTCTGAAAAGTGACTTCAGACTGGCTGCACTCGCAGGGTTCTCCCAGTTTGGGAACTCTGGCTTCCACAGGGCTGCACATTTCATCATCTTCAATAGGGAGGCTTAGACCCGGACTGTGGCCGTTGTATGGCGGGTGAAGGAATATCATATCGTCTAGGGTGTGTGGTTGGTCCTCAGGGGGTTCAGGCATGGGAAGAAGTTGGCTTAGTTTCTGAAGCACCTGAAGACGAATAAAATTGTGTTAAAATATGTTTATCTGTGTATATGTTTGAGTAAATTAGGCCATTTACTAACCATTTCCATGGTCGGCCGGACTCTCATTCTGCTGCCTGTGCACTCTAGTCCGATTGGGAGAAGACTAAGTGCCACCGCAGGAGGCCAGTGCTCAACTTTGGGATCTAAAAACCGCAGACAGGCATCAACAGAGCCTTTTTCCTCAAACTCTGAATGCAGTACGTCTCTCTAAAAGAAATGCAATGGAATAAGTCAGCGAAGGGCACATATATATATATATTTTCTTCTTTTTTTCCTGAAGTGGATTCTTACCAGAAACATGTTCTTTGCCGTCTCCTGTTTCACCTTCTGTCCTGTACATGTCTCTAATATAACCTACAAGCATAGAAACAGTATTCTGCAGCTGGTACTAAATTTTTACCATAACAATTCTGCCGTAAATCTTTATTTATACAAATGGTACCTGGCTCAGTTTTGAAATAGGATGCTGAACTCACCATGCCAAGACTGTAAACGTCAAGTTTGACAGACAGCTTCCCATCACGGATGTACTCCTCTGGGAGATAGCCAAGGTTGCTATGGGAGCCGGTATCCATGACGATGGTGAGGCTCTGGTTGACAGACTGGGGTCTCAGATGAGCTAATCCAAAATCTGATAATTTGGGCTGCAGGGTCTCATCCAAGAGTATGTTTGAACTGTGAACAGAACACAAAACAAGCTCATTTCAATGCATCACCTTTACTGGGCACCTCCACATTTGTGGCTTTGGCTGCAAAGTGACACCTCGTAATATTTCCACAAATAACCATGCACGGTTGTGCAGTGTGTAGATGGTGGACTGCTTTTGCGGTGCCTTTTATGATGTTCAGTCTTTCCTGCCATGATAGAGGCCTGTCAACTTCCTGTAACAAAGGCAAGAGTAGAGCCTATGAAAACTTATTTTTAAATTACTATGATGTAATCTACTATTACTATAGCATGTTACAGTTTGCTGGCAGATGATTCACCTCATGAAGCCTGCGGAACAACGATCCATTACGAAGGTACGGATAAACTAAACAGAAGCGATCCGCCTCTGAAAAGCTGCCCCATAACTCCAAAATATTAGGATGCTGATACCTAGGCAGACAAAAATGAGAACACCTGACAATATGATAAAAAAAAACAAAAAACATTTTGAATATGATCAAGCAGATTGTAGACTAAACCTACAGTTGTAGAACTTCGATTTCTTTGGTGAATTTTCCCCACAATGCCTTCCAATTAGATTTATTTTCCTGTTAATGTAAAAGAATTTGATTAGTGTTTTTTAAACTATAATGGCAATATATCTGTATGTAAAGTCAGACATTAATAGGTCAGGACCTGTTTGTAAAAGATTGGTTTTCCCATCTTACGCAGTAAAATAAATCAGTTAATTCAATAAAAAAATTAGTACATTACATATTTACATTGTTATTATTATTAGTAGGTTCTTATATTATTTTACTATTTTATTATTATGTTATTATGTATTTAATTATTAATTTAATGTAGAACAACTGCCACAAAAGAACATAGTTATGTAATGGCAAATTAATGTGCAAATACAATTAAACAAAATTAAAATGGGTCTGTAAGATAAACATAAGATGTAAAAAGATGGTTTGAAATACGTTTTGAAAAATGTTTTGAGAGACATTTTGAGATATTTATGAAAGTTTGTTTACACCATGAAATAAAATATAGATAAGGTAATTGGTGACTTTTTGTCTGACAATTCTGACTTTTTTCTCACAATTGCGAGTTTATAACTCACAATTCTGACCTTATTCTCACAATTGCAATTCTAAGAAAAAAAATCTTTTATTAGAATTTAAAACTCACAATTGCAAGTTTACATATTAACATCACAACAATTATTCCACATTGAATATTCCATGGTGGAAACAAACAAACTTGGGTTAGGACCTGTTTGAAAACTTTCACAGCAAAAGATCTGTTTCCCCATCTCCCAGAGTAGACCTCGGCGAACATGCTTTCTCCAATTTTTAAGTCCTGGTGGAAATGTCTCGTTCCCACTATGACATCTGAATATGTGATGCAATACTTCTGTTTTTCACCTATGAGATGGACAAATGAGGTTTCATCTCATATCCGTATGAAACTGCTCAAAACAGAAATGAAACTTTTTACCTAATATCTAGAATGACATGTACAGTTGGTTCTTCTATTACCAATACATGCACAACAATACTAACTAAAGCAAAGACAACAGTCAAATACAAATGTGCTTGTACTTTGAAAGAACATTACCTTCAACAGAAATAGACTCTGGATGAAGAGCTGCAGTTTGACAGGATTTCTCAGTATTTTGCACATGCTGATTGAAAAATGAAAAACAAAAACTGCTAAGATTCAGTTGAACATTCAGAGTTTGCAAGCATGCGGGTGTTTGCTTTCTAAGAATCCTAAACCACAAAAAGACAAGCATCTGATCAGAATCTGTAAAATATGCAGAAATAACAGCATCAAAATGAAAAAAAAAAAACCAAAACATTACCGTGGCAAAGAGAGGGGGTGAGGATGACATCAGCACAGATGAAGAGTCTAGGATAGAATCAAATTTGGTTATTGTTTGTTATATTGTGGCAGCTTTGTTACAGCAGTTTCATTACGTTGGCTTTCCAATGTTGTGTGGTCTTGTGGGTGATACGATTTGTAAGAACTGTGGGTTACAAGCACAGCTGGTTATTTAAGTCACATTCTTTGTTTTGCATCCAGTTCACAACATATTTAGGTTTGTCAAGTTCCTCTTTAAAGTACAAGATACATTACAAATATAAAGTAGCACTAGCTGATATAGGAAGCTTCAGTGAATAATAAGTGGAAGTTGGAGAGCCAGTAAAATTTAAACAATCCTTACAAGAATTTCCCATAAAATATTAGTTACAGTTATTTCCAATGCTAAAATAATATTAATAATAATCATATATTTTCTTCCGCTTTAAGTTTTATATTTACTGTAGGCCTAGTTATTTATTGTGTCTACTTACTATAGCAACCATTTTAGCATAAAGTACAGTTACCATGGTGCATTATCATAAAGGGAACATCACAACCATAATTAGCTATGAAGATGTTACCTTGTGACTGAAAAAGACTGGTGGCTCGAGCGTGTCCCATCTCATCCAGAACCTTCAGCAGATCCCCCACTCTTTTATTCTGCTGGGCCCACGACCACATGAGCTCTTGTGTTGGGCTTTTCCCAGCAGCCACGTACATTTCAGCACACCTCACCTCCAGCTGACTGGGAAGGATGAGGGCAGCTGGAAGGAATCAAACTGGGATGAATGTCACAAAATGTTTCCCACAAGACCAAGTGCAGCTTATATGAAGACCTTTCTTTTGGAAATCCAGCCTACGCTGTCTGGTGCGTTTAGTGTTTTATAGTTGATAATTAGTTTGTTGACCATTGTTCTAAAAAAAACACCTTGACCACTGTTTGTGGGGACAAGTTACAAAGTAGAAGCAGGATTGTTGCTTGGACCAGTTAGCGACCATACTGTACCGGTTTTGACCAACTAATGTCAATTTAATTACTAAATACACTTTATTTATTTTCATCATTTGTAGCTTTTAACGTCCATGAAACCTTTCATTACAGAAAGGGTACTTTAGTGGAAAATAGTTCTTAAAATATCATTCACACTAATAAAAAATAATAACAATAACTGAAATGTACTTTAAATAACCAAAAATGAATCTACTATGGCATCGCTGCGAAAACCCCATTTTAGAACCTTTATTTTGACTGTACATTGTGGGGAGAAAAGAAGCTTGAACATATTCCAGCGGCCTTAATTTGACATGAACACATTACCAAAGAAAATAAATACAGGGAGATTCCTTAGATGATTGTTTGCTTAACTTCATACTTATTTTTACGTTGATAATACAATGTTACATTGTCATGGTAAAGTGCGTACCTAAGGCTCTCCAACCCAGACCGTCCACCCCGCTGTCCATCAGCCTACAGAAGGTCCTCATGAGCACCGGCGGGACGTCGAAGAGGAACGTCGATGGGTCTATTTTACCTGACATCTTCCTCTAGTTGATTCCATACACAGGTGTGTGAAGTTTGTTTAGATGTTTCATGTCTCTCGGACTGGTGACTCTACAGTGCTCTCTTGTGTTGATTCCTCTTGCTACAAAGCGGAAAGTCCCAAACCCCACCTACTTCCTCTAAATAATTTCACAAATGCTCATAATATTTGCTCGTAAAGCTGAATTAAACAACACTAAACAATTAATTCCCAGCAATTAATTTAGTTAACAATTAGTGGGCTATATATGTATATATATATATATATATATATATATATATATATATATATATATATATATATATATATATATATATATATGTAAATATAGCCTAAATTTCTAAAACAACAACAACAATAATTATTATTATTATTGTTGTTTTTTATGTTATTATCGTAGCCTAGCCTACCATTTTGCAAGATGTAAACAACACTGGTCCAGAAAGACTTCCTGTTTCAGTTTGTAACTGTTTTCTTTATTTCACATAAAGAAAACTTCTTGTTTATTTAACTTTTTGATTCAATTTGTTCTGTTCTGTTGGTTGTATTTTATCCCAGGTTAGGCTATAAACTGAAACAGGAAGTGCTTCTGGACCAGTGCTGAAGTGCTGTTGTTTACATCTTGCAAAATGGTCTATAGGCCTACTTGACTTCATTATAAAAACAATAAATATTATTATCATTATTATAATTATTAATATCCGTGTATCATTTACTACTTCGTTATGTTTTGCCTTCTTATAAAATTATTGTATTACTATTTATTATAGCCTACCAGTCGACAGCAAAAAAAAAAAAAAAAAAAAAACACCAATAATTGAATGGCATTTGGATGTACAAATACATGTTATAAAATTAAAAGCAATTAGAATGAGGAGATTGGCATTAAATCATCAGTATTCTAACATTTTTGAGGCTCTGAAAATCTTTCTCACAATAATCAGAAATAAAGTTCGCCTATCATTTCACCTCATATTGTAGGCTCCAAAAGAAAGCCTCAAAAAGTGTCTCAAAAGAGTTTTATAAATAATACAAATGAATCCTTGAAACACACACACACACACACACACACACAGTATATAAAAAACTAAGGTATATTCATCAAAAATATCAAGTATCACTCTTAATAGAATTTGTAATAAGACAAATATTGCACATTTTCATACTGAATTGCATTCACATGCAATGTCCATTAAGGCACTTTCTTTTACATTACATTAAAAAAGAAAACATCACTTTTTACAAACATTATTTAGCTTCATGGTTACATCATCAGTCAGTGTTAATATTAACATGACTGTTGGTTGCGAATCCGAGGGAGGCGCGTCTTGTCCATAGACAGGTCTCATCACATCACAGGTTTTTCGGGAAGTCATATGACTTTTTTTCAGCGCGCGAGGGACTCATCAAGGGCGCGAGATACAAACGTTTGCTCTCAAACGCACTTCAGTCCATGGAAACAAATATGATAAGTGGAGATAAAAAAAAAAAAGATTCGTAGCGTAAACTTTGAGGATTTTTCATTTTGATAGAAAGCGAAACTCTGTCTGTTTTTTTTTTTATCCAATCAACGTCTTGATCGCTCAGTTGCTAGGCAGACATGTATGTTTTAGGTTAGTCAAATAACTGAAATTCACTACAATCACTATAATCTTGATTTAACTTCAAAGTACATGCAAGACAATACAGACTATTTGAAGCAAATAAACACAATAGTTTCATTGGGTTTTTTAAATTTTATTTTCCTCTCTTAAAAATTACATTTGTAAAACTGAATTATTCACATTCATTAATATTCCAATTTGCAGTAGTGAACGTAGGCTATGTAGATTAACAAGAGGAAATAACAAATGGTTTTAAAAAAAGAGAGAGTTGGTCATAATATTTGTAATTAGCCTAATTTCAAAATAAAGCCAGAAATAGCCACAGGATTTATACAAAGAGGAATGAAATCAGTTAAAAAGATCCATAAACTAATCAAAACCCATCCAAAAAAACAAAAACAAAACATGTAGCAGCTACTTTGGTTTAAATTATCAAGGAAAACTAAAATCACGGAAGTTGAGGTGTAATTTGAATGAATAGTGCATCTTGAGCAACATTATGTGATATGGGACAGTAGGATAATATAATCTGTAGACGATGAATATTGTCCAAAAAAAACTGAGAAATTATCCTAGGAAAAAGAAAGAAAACACACACCTTTATTCTTCTTTACATTTTCGAATTGCCACATTTGAATGGTATAACAAAAAATGGTATTGCTATATTTTCTACATTGATAAACAAGGTAACACTTACCACCCTTTGTCTTCCTTTGATTGTCCGCTTTACATGTTGGGCTCTGCAGAAAAAAACATAAGATGTTCAATACATGTGCTGTGTCATGTAAACCACAAGGTATCTTCTAGAAATACACACATAACACTCACCCCAAATAACTGTCTTCATTTCGCTCATGTGTCGAACCTTGCAGGAGTAATCTTCACCTTTCTGTGGTGTGAAGGAGACACTCTTGGTGAGGTGAAACTGCCAGCCCTTTTCGAAGGCCAGGTCAGTCTGCTGGGAGTTAGGGATAACCACTCCATCTTTCAGCAGTTCAATGGAGATATCAGGAGGGTGGAAGCCACTCACATAACAGATCAGGGTGTTCCCCTTTCCATACTCTCCTGGAAAATGGCTGTACAGCTGAATCTTAGGACTGGCTGAAAATAGAATTTAAAATATTAATTAACAAAGATAACACGCAAGTAAAGTCAATTTAAAAAAAAAAAATTAAACACAAACTTCCAGACTTCGTTTCATGAATAGTCACAAACGAAACACAAATTACATCAGTCTTCCTCGAAAAAAAGAAAAAACGCAATGTCTTTACATGCCTACATTCTGTTTAGCTAAAGAGACCCTACAAATTATAACCTCGGTACAGTAGGTCTAACATTAGTTGTTATATAAAACATAGGCTACTAATATGCATAAATTAACTATTTTCAATAACTTTGGTTATATAAAAAGATTATCATTTAAGTGACATGACATTGTTTTGTAAATGAAGGCTCTAGGAAAAACAATCAAATCAATTCTATAGATGCATAGTGACATATTATAGCTAACAAATAGACATTTTAATCCTCAAGGGGAAATCCAGTTGCAAGTCAGACAATAGAATCAACAATACAGCACAATAAACAAACAATAAGATACAGAATTCATAAGCAATTTGAATGTTACTTACAGAGTTTCCCTTGTACAGTGACGTACAGCACACAAAACAGGGCAAAAGACACGAGTCCTCGCATTTTTGTGGATTTATTTGAGAGTATCAAAAAGAGTATCCTGTTCCTCTCAGGTCTAACACGGACAATATTGAAAGTAAAATACCAGTAACCTTAAATGCTCTGTCACCACCGAAACCAGCACAGCCTCCAAGATGAGAGGGAAGCCAATAACAAAATTCCTACAAGCTGTTGTTAGGTAGATTTGATCTAGGGAGGTTATACAGACTCTGCCAATGGTCTGGTGGAACAGTCTGTTTTGGAAATACCCGAATTTACCTAAGCCAAAATAAGACACCTCCTCTTCTTCATCAACAAAACCGATCCACCATTATGTAAACCGCCATGAACCAAAACAATTCAATAACCATTTAAAATGTTAGGTATAGAAAACTTGGCAAATATAGGTTATCCTAATATTAAAAGAGCAAATGGGTAGTGAACTGAGTTAAATAGCAAAGTGACAAGCTATACCGCACTTCTAAAACTATTTTAATCATTTTAATTTTAATACATTTATAGTTGAAAATTTCAAATGGCATTTAGAGGCTTTTGCATCTGAACTCTTCATATATATATATATATATATATATATATATATATATAAGATTATATTAATTAGATTATATTAATTCTGTAAGTTGTAATGATATAACAACTCGCAGAATAATTAAATAATTACTGTACCTTCCAGGGAAGGTACAGTAGGGAAGTCCCCCTAGTAGATGGTGCATGGGGAGGATGGGGGTTTAGAAAAATTCCATTGGCGTGTTGCACTGATTTGAGCTGCTTCGGGACGGAAAATAAATAAATAGATAAAACAAACAAATCAATTGACCTTAGTCGGATTGGCTTTAGAGAATCAGCTGCTCTGAAGAGTTTTAACAGCAACTAATTCTGTTTCAGTACATGTTTCAGCTTAGTGTATACCTGGATACCTAAATAGTTGGATTTATATTAAGCCCTATGCAGTAAACCAGATTCTAATGTAATATTGTCCCTAACATTTCCATTTGTCTATTACTAGGGGATTCCAAATTGTAAGAACATCACAGATTATAAAAAGCAATTAATAAAAGATTCTTTTTGGGGGAGAGTGCAAAGTGAATGCCTACATCTGTAAATCAGAGATGGTAAAAAATAAATAAATAAATGATGCAGAGCTAAATAAAGCATCAGCCATAGGAATGCTCAAGTTATCCCTGTTCCTCGGGCTTTTGGGTTGTATGGAATACAGTGGTGAGCCAGAGCAATAAAGAAACGCATATGATTTGTGGCTTGGCCTGGACGCCAGATTCCCTGCCACAACATTCTTCATCTCAGTCTCTATGGAAACTAAGCACAATATTATGACACTGTGCTTTGTGTAGATCTGTAATCCAATGTATTAAACTGCTGGAAAAAAATAAGTCGAAAACTCTAGTTTATACACTTTTTGTGCCGTCTGCTTTAGAAGCGCTTTCACTTTAAGGTCAAACATGAAGGATGTTTCCATGTGCATTTAGGTATTTAAATAAAACCAAAGCAGATTTACCAGCCTGGGCACATTTCAGACTCGTCAACTTTGCAAATAATAGTTTGTCGTCAGATAAATAATTAGCATAGCAAGTCAATATATGTACTGGATACACACACATCTTATAGTATTGTTGCATTAGACAAATACATATCAAGTGGCAGGTGACTAGATACACTATTCAAAATGAAAACAAATATATTTAGACTCTTCAGTTGTTACTTTAAAATAAATCTGTAAAATCATTAAATTATATGACACCTGTGTTAATTTGCCACTTGGTTTCGTATATATATAATTTTAAATGAACTTTATTTGAGTGCATAAGTGCCCAAATACAGTTGGGCCCACTTTATAAACAAAAAGTGAAAGTAGATTTCAAGGTGAGAACAAAGCATGATCTCTGGGAAATCATGTGATTAAGTCTGGGATTTTTTTTTTTATTATTATTGTTACATATGCGGAAGTAAATCTAGAGAACAATGACTATTGCCCAATATGATCTAAATCGAAATTAAACAATTGTAAATAAACATCATTAGATGATCTATGTTTTTTTTCTGTTTTGTTTTTGGGGTTAAACACTCAAACCGGTACTTAGATCACAAAATATAAGGCAGCTTGCAATGGCACAATTTTCCCCACTAGCTGTCAGCATTGTGCAGGCAATTAAGATGAAACTCAAGTCATGCACAAAATTAAAGGCATAGTTCACCCAAAAATTCTGTCATCATTTGCTCAAGTTGTTACAACCCATTATGAATGTCTTTCTTCTGCTGAACACAAATGAATATATTTAGAAGAATATGGCTAATCAAACAAGCTTTTGACTTCCATAGTTAGTGGTGGGTGGGGGGTGAAATACTATGGAAGTTAATGGGGACCAATCAACTGTTTGCATTCAGATATTCTTCCAAAATATCTTATTTTGTGTGCAGCAGAAGAAAGAAATTTATACAGGTTTGGAACAAATTGAAGGTGAGTAAATGTCGACAAAATTTTTTCATTTTTGGGTGAACCGTGCCTTTAAATCTGGAGTCAGGCAGTGAAAACTAAATTTGATGTTCTGACCTCAGATTTAGATGGATTTATGTCCACCTTTATATGACTTGAACCACTAGAACTTAAAAAAATCTAATGATTGACTTGGCCATATGGCATACAGCATCATGTGACAAATATAATCTATGTATTTCCCCATCAAAGTCTCGATTCAATTAGTTAATGTTCCTATTCAACACAAATCTTAAAGTGTAGCTAATTAAAGATCACTTAAAAGCTTTTAGTTAATGTCAAATCGACGAAGCCAGGATTCTCTGCTCAGATAGACGTGCACTCAAACGTAACACCACCTTGTTTTGACTCATTCTGCACCTGTCTCATTTTTCATGTCTCTATCTAGAGTGCACCACAAATCTTGAGAGTTTTGCGGTGTAGCCGACTGGGATTGAGATTCGAGCATGTGGTAGCGTTCACAACCTCATAAAGGCTGCAGACACTCAGAGACCATAACAAAATCATCAGCTTTTATAGGAGGGGTTTTACTGTCTGCAATGACAATAGAGGTGTACTTTTAGTCTGTCTGTATAAATGTGACCCTGGCTGGATCACAAAACCAGTCACAAGTCGCACGGGTACATTTGTGGCATTTGCCAAATACATTGTAGGCTAGGGGTCAAAATGATCTTTTATGCCAAAAATTATTAGGATATTAAGTAAAGATCATTTTCCATGAAGATATTTTGTACATTTCCTACTTTATATATATATAACATTTATTTTTGTGAGTGAATGCAGCACAATCACGAACATAAATGAACAACTTTAAAGGAGATTTTCTCAATGTTTCGTTTTTTTTTGCACCCTTAGATTCCAGATTTTCAAATAGTTGTATCTCGGCCAAATATTGTCCTATCCTAACAAACCATACATCAATGGAAAGGTTATTTATTGCATACATCTCAATTTCAGAAAATTGACCTTTGTGATTGGTTTTGTGGTCCAGAATCACAAATAGATCTTTTCACTGCAAAAAAAGTAGTCTAGACTTTTAGCACATATAGCTTAACGTTCACAAATCTGCTAATGTCGCAGGCTACAGAAAGGGACCATTTTGGGTCCCAAAATAATTCTTCCTTCATGTGCTATTGGAATTATCGAGTTTCCTAGTTGAAAATTGGACATGAATGCGCCCTCTTAAGTCGTATTTAATACTGGGAAGCTTGGGGATAATTTTGATAGACCTACCAGTTGGGTACGCCATTTCATCTTATAATATCAGTTGTGAGATTTAGATTTAGTTTTGACTTTAATTAATCTAACTTTATTTTATTTTTATTTTTGAAAATAGTGATCTATGATATTGTATTATGTTGAATTATGTCTATTTGATAATGAGGGATTTGTGGACACATTGATGTTTTGGATTTGTAGTTTTTAAAAAAGACAAAATTAGACCGATGGGGTAAGATGACCCCTTCTCAGTCCCAGACCTGGTTTCCTCCATAACTCCATATTCTTTCTGACAACAAAGCACTTGAACGAACAAGATCATAACCACGACTTCAGATTTCCGACAGCATGTGAAGACAGGATTAGAAGAACCATTTCTGAAGAACCTTGTTCCATAGTAAAGAACCTTAATGCATTTGAAAGGCTCCATGATAGTATAGTAGCTAAATGCCACATCTTAAATATCTCTTCTTCACGTAACGGCATTTCCTTGTTTTAAAGGTTAAAAACTCGAAAAATGTTCTGTTTATTTCCGAGTTTATATCAGACTTTATTTGTCAGACTTTTGGACCGCACTCTGTTGCATCGTCTCCTAGTTTATGGGACAATGTAGCAGCTTGAGCCACGGAAAGTAGTTTTATTACATGGTTTTGTTGTTGCTACAAGTGATGGAATGCAATCAAACATTTGTCGTGGAATTCTTGGAGTTACTCTAGAATTCCCAGACTTCCCGTTTGGTTCTATTAGCGCTGGGAATGAAAGCCAGATACTGTAGTACAGGGTGGTTTAGAGAGATGGAGGGAGGGAGGGAGGTTCCAGCCATGCGGTTTGGTCTCCCCGCCAAGACTGTGCTTCATTAAAATGAGGTCATTTACAGAGCCAGGAAGGAAAGGGAAAGAGAAAGAGAGAGCGCGAAGGAATGAGACAGGCGAGTAAAAAGAGAGATAGACCCATTGAGGGAGGAGGCTGTAATGGAGGCGAGTTGGGTGGCGGGTGGAGGGGGGCGGCAAAATGAAACCAAGATGAGTCACAGAGACCAAGAAAGAGGGAGAGGATGAAGAGGTAATGGTTCCTCGATGACTGTGCGAGTGCAGCCGGATTGTGCGGAGCGGCACGCGAGCTCACGGTGCGGGTGACGGCGGGATGAGTCAGGACCGCAAGCGTGAGTCAGTGACACTCGGGTCAGACAACACCCTCAAACAGAGGCGCACAAACACTGATCAGTCATACAGAGTAAACACACACTTATTCATGAAGCCTGGTGCACTAAGTAGAACACACTGCTCCAAAACCATTCATAAATACACACTAACACGGAAAATCAGACTCATATTTATGTAGCAGTTAAAAACAGTTTAAT